GTTTCTTAGATAAAGTTCTAGGAGAAAATATCAATGAATTAAAATTCAAGATTCAGTTTGAATTCAAAGTAAGTACACTTGTTAAATAAGACTACCATTCCGGCGTTCAGATAATGTCAGATAGTCGGCTTTCTTTCCCATGTAATTAATTCTAAGAATAGGCAATGCTAGGATCGTAGTTTTGGAATATAGCCTGTAATACTATCCAGAACATTTCATCTTTGCGAGTTATTATAATTGGGCTGAGAAACTTGCCACCAGTGAGATGAGATACTTTGGTTATTTGCATTTCTCTTTCAAACTCATCGGAAACTCGTGTCGTAAAATATATCCATGGTAAAGCGTATTAATATTCAAGTGACGAAACAGTGTGTTCTAATCATTACAAGTAAGAAAAGTATATCAAATTAGTTATATTAATTATTGGGTTGATTCTTAATTCTGATCTATGTACGTAACTTGTTTTAATAAGAAGTTAATATTAATTACAATTGGATATCGAACAATAAAATAAGTAATAAAGTGAGAAGAAATGGAAAAGTCATTAAAAATAACATGAGATGAAACAAAGATTCTGAGTGTTTCATATACTGAAGTAAATTAAGGGAATGATAGTGCTTAATTTTTATTATTTAGAGGTTTTTACCTTTATCATACATGCACTTGCAAATTGTCAATGGGATTCACCGTATTTGACTTTATCGGAGGAAAGTGTTTGTCTCAGAATTTCATACAATGCTACACTAGGGCTAACTTTGCATAGCTACGCCTAATTTTGAACTGATAGAATAAAACGTATCAGTCAGTCAACAGTATTTACCACTAACTTGTGGAATAATGTTGTCTGATCGAATGGCTCAAAGTGCAAAGTGTATTTTAACGGTAACAGGTCGCGAGCCATGAATTCTCGGAAGTAAACGTTAAAGAAAGTAAATGTTAACAGGCGTTAAAGTTTTGTCAGAATGTGATTGTTGAGATTTGTTTTCTTAAGTTGTATAATTTCTATATACAATCCTTTAAAAAACGTATGGAATAAAGACTATACACAGGTTAACAAACGTTACTTGCACTATTTAAATACTTACAAAACAGATCCTGTCAACTAGATGGAGTTTTACTTATTTAATATTTCTTATTTCAAGGGTGAGAAAAATGGCCGTCATAAGCGTAATCTGAGCACAAATCTATCTGAAATATGTAATGCCGATAACCCAACCACTTGCCTAGACCTTAATATGTATTTTCAACTTCAGCGAGTGTAACGTTTACTGTTTCCTTCAATACTTTATTTAAATTACGCCTTGTAAAGTACTTATTTTATCTTTTAAAATCACTTTCGAGAAATTGAGTACGTGTATACTTACGATAACCTTACTCTGGTTTGTTATATTAGGTTTAGAAACATTGTACTTTCTTCTTTTACAGCAAGGCCCGGCATGGCCAGGTGGTTAAGGCACTCGATTCGCAGTCTGAGGGTCGCGGGTTCGAATCCCCGTCACACCAAACATACTCACCCTTTCAGCCATGGGGGCGTTATAATATGACGGTCAATCCCACTGTTCGTTGGTAAAAGAGTAGCCGAAGAGTTGGCGGTGGGTGGTGATGACTAGCTGCCTTCCCTCTAGTCTTACACTGCTAAATTAGGGACGGCTAGCGCAGATAGCCCTCGTGTAGCTTTGCACGAAATTCAAAACAAACAAACAAATCTTTTACAGCAGCTCTCGTAAGCCTCCATTTACTTAAACGAGGCAGAAAAGCCGAAGCCCTAAAAGCGCTACTAACTCAATATTATTGTAACATCCAAATAAAAAGCATTGTCGTATAGAGCAAAGCGTACTAGTTTTCAATTATATAAGAGTTAAGGCGGAGCCTCTGAGATAATTTCGGAGGCTCCGTTTCTGATATTCACGCACATGTATATGTGAACTTCTGAAAATCACAGTTCATATATTTCCCTTGAGAACTCTCACGTAAACAGCAGGAAAGCACAGTTTCGATACAAACACGTTCCTTGTTTCAATTCCAAACAACTAAAAAATCGTATTTCTATAATTATTGACTTATTTTTATTTGTTAATGAAATTAATAATTTATAGTCCTTTAAGTCCTAGCTTCGAAGTGATACTGATAAGACTAGTGGCAAAGCAGCTGCTAGTCAATAGCTTCCACCGTCGAAACTCGGGCTACTCTTGTCTGACAGAATGATGAGATTTGAGCGCCACTTGTATAAACAAACAAGTACGGAGCGAGTTACTATGGCTATGGGCTGTGAACCATATATTGTTGTAGAAGCTGTAATGACGTTTTACAAGTTGATTTCTGCCTACTCCGTAGTAAATTTATTCAGTTATAAATGATGTTTACCGTTTGAACTTGTTTACTGGTAGTCCTAACAATGATGTTATTACGAAAAAGCTATGTAAAATAAGTAAATATACCAGTGTCTGTTTGATTCGGATATTCACGGAAAACTACACAATGTCATCGCTAATTTTGAGCTGATAGACTGACTAGCTAGTCAACAAGAACCATCACCTAGTCTTGAGTTACGCTAATTGAATAATGGGATTTAGCCGTCATCCACAACCCCAAATCATGGAGCGCGATTTTACAGTAACGGGACTCGAGCCATGCATCATCAGATTCACAGTCCGGCACACTAACTCTAGACCAGGATCTATACCAGTAACACATAAATAATCTTACCTACTTTTTATTATCACACTAACTAACAATTTTAACGTTACAGACAAGTGACAACTACATATGACAGCAATAGACAAATAATCTTATACTAAATTAGTCTTGCCATACAATGGCGAGTTAACTTGAGTGAATTACTCGCCGTGTATGGTAAAGATTCGGAAATAAAATTTACAATAATTACTCTTGAGAACCACTACCACTTGTTATACAGTGTCAGTATATGTTAATATAATTAGTACACTACATGGCTTCTATTTTTACCTTTTAGAAACATTTTAACGTGATTATATTACCTGTAAACTTTATAAATAAAAATGTATTTTCATTGTTAATTATGCGTTCACATGAAAGTAACAGTCGTGAATACGTGAGTATAAACTCAGAGGGCAGTGGCATTTGGCAAATAAAACACAATCTGTCTTTCGTAATAACTCAAGACGCCAAGAAACAGACTTTAGTTTTATATTAATCTAAAGCAAGGTTAAATTGTAAGTCACTACACCCCCCCCCTAACCCCTACAATTAGTATATTGTTAGTCAGTTGTGTTTATGAATGAAAACTTCTGTTTGACAGTGTGTGTTTTTTTTCTTAGGACTACATTCCCATCATTATCCTGTACACTCAACAGGTTCTTTCATAGACTCTTGCAATCATCATACTCATTTTGTTTTATTGCCATTCAGTAAAAGTAACTTATATACTAACGTTAAAAGAAAACTTTATATTTTAACGTGGTGCTTCATCCTGTAAGTTTTCTTTTTAAGTTAATACATAATCACGTTTAAGTTACATTAAAACAATATTAACTTATAAGTTATTCTGCTTTTCAGTTATACCATGGAAACAAAGAAGTGATTTACGTCTTTAAAAGATAAATTGCTTTATAAAAACAACTAACAATACAGCTGATATTAGCCACTAACAATGCATTTGAAAAGCTGAAACTATACTCAAATTTCTTTATTAAGTTTAAAGACAAAGTACTGCTATTGAAAATTTCGGATGTAGTATACCACTTCACGTGCCCTTGGTATGTAAAAAAAAACTTGTACTACCTCTACCTAGCGGTAGTTGTAAACTTATTTAGAAAAGCAGTACTACTTTCTTCTATAATGTTTACTAATTAACAGTTTAATCAAATCATCTGTGTTCAAAATGTAAAACTTATGATCATATGTGTTTGAGTTCTAGTTAAAAATTATTTAATTTAAACTTTAAGTTGCACAAACCATTGCTTAGTTCTAGTCATTACATAGATTAAAACTATAAAAATTACATGCAAAAATAAAGATATGAAAGAAAGCAAATAGTGTTATGTAACAATGTAGGCAATAGTTCAATAAAAACCCTTTACAGAATGTTACATGTAAAGATTAGCAGTTTATGATTTCGAACAAACAGTATATACAAAAACAAGAGATTTAGCGTCAACGTGTATAGTTTAGCAGTTTTATGATTTTCAACAAATTAGTATATACAAAAACAAGAGATTTAGCGTCAACGTGTATAGTTTAGCAGTTTTATGATATTCAACAAATTAGTATATACAAAAACAAGAGATTTAGCGTCAACGTGTATAGTTTAGCAGTTACTTGATTTTCAACAAATCAGTACAAATAATAACATGAAATTTAGTGCGAACATGTATAGTTTAACAGTTTTATGATTTTTCAACAAGTCAGTACATATAAAAACAAGAGATTTAGCGTCAACGTGTATAGTTTAGCAGTTTTATGATTTTCAACAAATCAGTACATATAAAAACAAGAGATTTATCGTGAAAGCTGCGTTAAATCATATACTTTCCATGTATTGTCTCAAGACCTATAGAACTAGAAGTCAAAACTTCCAATTAAGCTGGAAACCACCATACTTAGATTAAGTTTCCTAAAAATAATAATCATCATGTATTAATTATATACTTAACCTTATATACTGGGTTGGAAACTTTTATGGACAACGAACGTCCCGAAATGCTGCTAATAGCAATCCATAAAGGATACTAATCCGCTGAAGCCTCCTCTGGCTAAGTTAACTCTTAAACATTAACGTACATACTCCAATTAACGTACATGTTCCAATTAACGTACATACTCAAATTAACGTACATACTCCATTTTATTTTAGAAAGTTTTCTTCCTCTTTTTTTTATAAGTAACCTGCTTTTAAACAAGTTTTTACTACTTCTGTTGATTGAACTGTTAAACTAGCTAAATTTTAATTCCAAAAATGGATGCTTTTAAATTTAAAAAAAGTTATTCTAACTTCAGTTCATAAAATAGGTTGTACTTACTGAGAAGTAAAGCACAGCATATAATGTAAATTACAGTCATGTTGTTGAAGAGAACCATTGATTATCAAAATACCTCGTTATCTTCACTACATCCAACTGACTAAACCTTTTTCTGTTACCGCTCGCTTTATAGTGTAGCGTCTGCTAAGGTTGGGGCTCCCGAGTTTCATCAATTACAAGCGACCTCTCTCTCCTCCGCTTCACAGCGGGATCATTAATTGCATTAGATCTCCTCAATGAGGCTATAGGTGGGATCTAAGATAAGTTGCAGCTAAAGCAAAGAAAAACTGGAATTATATGATAATGAAAAGGGGAAAAAGGAAAAAAAACATTATAAGACATGTACAATTTAGTAATTATAGAAAACGTAAATTATATTTCTACCAATGTAAAACTACTTGTGCTAGTTTTTCATTCGTATTTTATGAATATCTCTATAAATCATTTAATATTTTCAATAGTTGTTTAAGTTTGGTTTAAGAAATGTATTATATTAGTTATGTTATTAATTTCAAGGAGATGCTGATTTAAGGAGCCGAGAGTTTATAGTTAATAAAGTTACACGATTTTGGAATGTCCGCAAATTGTAATATGATATGCTTACACAACTGACCATTGACCTTGCAACAAACGAAACCATCACTGGCAGATATTAATAAGTTATTACTAATGTAAGCGCTCATTCGAATATATACATATATCCTCATGAAAGGTTACAAAGAAAAAGGTATGATACTCACGTGACATTATAAACAATAAGGATTATTAAAGACATTAAACTTAAGTTTTCGTTAACTCAAATACCACAAACACATAAGTAATTTACAAAAGTTTGGTTTGAAGTTTGGGCAAAGGTATCTGCTCTAGCCGTCCATAATTTAGCAGTGAAAAATAGCTCATTATCACCACCCACCGCCAACTTTACCAACGAATAGTGGGATTGACCGTCACATTATAACGTCTCCACGGCTAAAATTGCGAGCATGTTTGGTGTGACGGCGACTCGAGCCCACGACCCTCAGATTGCGAGTCAAGCGCCCTAACCACCTGACCAAGTTTAGTTTTATTAGGCATATGAATACGTAATCTAGGATAATAAACATTAAAACCCTTTGATTCCACCCTGTAAGCATTTACTTTAGTTTATCTCTGGCAAGTAACTCCTTTTTTTTTTGTCAGTAGTACTTGAACTTATTAATTTTAATTTATGCTTAATGTTTTTGAGAAAGAATAAATGTGATGGGAAGATAGGTATGTTTGTCTGTATTATATGACAATATATTGTAATGTATTTGTGGTTTAACTAGATAATCACAAAGATAAATTTTAAGTTTTCAGTGAGGAATAGTGAGATATACTTGTATGGAAAATGTGAATTTTTCTCTTTTTCTTCTTTGAAATATAGTATTGAAATTAGTTATACGCACACAGGAGTCACAAACAATGATCAATTTATCATTAGTGAGATACATTATTTCAGAAAATGTAAAAGAAAATAACTTGTACCATGCTCTAGTATTTTGTGGGTGCTTTAAACAGAGCAGTACACTTTGTTTTTGTACTACCACAATCTATCAAAGTGTGGTTGTGAAATATTGTTTCAAATGTCCTGTATTGCTCGCCATCATATTGCAAATTTGTATAGTTGCTGTTTGACCTTCTCCAGGGGTGAAATTCTAAAAAAAAAAAAGTAGAGGATTTCAGCTGAGTGAAGTGTACCTGTTTTTGAAAGGAAAAAAAATCTACGTTAAACATAAAAAAAGGACAAAGTAGCTCAAATAATCCCGGTACTTGTACCGCCTTAAAAATAAGTTCCAGTATTCAGTACCGGTGAGTACCGGCAGAATTTCACCCCTGATCTTCTCTGTTTCCGTTTAAGGCTGTAAAGCTTTATTAATATTCATGCAAAGACATTGTGCAGGCCAAGTCATGGTTGTGGGTATTCTATCGATCTTTTACTTTTGTACCTCCAGGTATCGTTTCACCATATTTGTAGCGTGGTTAGAATCATTGTTTTGTTGAAGATGAATCCCTGCTCAACAAGGCTTGTTTTTTGAGGAAATGAAATGATGGAAAAGAATGAAATTGTATTTGTCAGCAGTCATGGTATCATCAATTTTGTGTAAATTTCCAACACCAAGAGCCCACATTGGCATTGGTTCCTCCAACATGTATCACTATAGATGTTGTATGTTGATTGTGATACCATTCACCACTCTGCCATCGAACAAACTATCGCCAATTGTTGTCAAACAATTTAAATTTCAAGTCTGATGCCAATTTCAGCATTGGTTTAGTTATCTCTTCTAAGCAATTGTTTTTGAGCAATTAAAGATCAGATGAGACCGATTTGTGGTTACATGTATCTTATCTCTCTGGAAACAAAATTCACATCTGTGCATATAGTTACATCGTTGGTAAAATTTTTACTGGATTATCATGTATCGACATTTTAAAAAGAGTCCCGATTTTCTACCTCGACCGCTTATATTATCAACAGTACAGTTTCCACCTACTCTCTTCAGTTTCCGTATATCTTCTGGTGAAATATGAACATTCGCTTCAGTTTGTCGCATGGAGTAACCTCCAGCAGCCAGAACTTTGATTTATATACGTTTATTGTCTATCCATCCAGGGATTCAGTAGTATAATCACAATATTGTTGTTGAGAATATATTTATATGTATGCATTATACTTGTGTGGCGCTGTCAGATTGTTTGGATGACAACCATCTACAGTTTAAACTATCAGCACGTGATTATACTCTAATGTATGTGATATATATATATATAGAAGAAACTGTTAGATAGAACACTAGAAAATAGGCTTAACGTACATATGACTTTACTCTGGAGCCAATAGCTAGATCTTGTGAAATAATTAACTCAGTGACTTAATTGTGGTAATGTGAGAATCACAACCGATTTATATTATATTTACATCAGGAATCTCAGAGACGGGTCCACGGTGGGTAGTCCAAAAGCTTTAGATTCTCACCCCTCCATTTTTCAATACAAAACAAATAAAAGGAAACAGTTAAACATTAAATAGATATAAAGATAAAAATAGATATGCAAGTGCTAAATATGTTTTATTTTATTTTTATCTGTAATCAGTTATGCTGTATTCCTGTACTGAAAGAGGATATGGACCGTCTGTTCTGTGTAAAATATTGAAGATAGGCGTAAAGGAGCTTTTTTTTTTCAAAATTATTATGACTGATTCAAATCCCACCACATGTTTTTGAAAAAGCCATTTTCATCGGTATGATTATCAAACATTTCATCCCTATCAGACAACAGTGATTTGTAATGCTTGCTTTCGGAGGTCACTTCAAGATCCTGAATCTAACAGTTAGTTTCGCAAATGAAGGAAAGGATGCTCTCTATGGTAGTAGAAAGTATTGGTCATTCGGATTTCTTATTGCAAATTTGCCAATGGATGTAACTAGCAAAAACCAATGTAAAGAGTCAGGAATAAGACTTAGATCTTAACTTTAAAAGTTTGGTTGTCATATCTGTGAAAAGGGCTTTTTCAAAGACCTGTGGTGAGTTTTTAAACGATCATAATATTTTGAAAGAAAATACCCTTTACGGCTATTTTCAACATTTTACACATTACAGACGATCTAGATCCATTTTTTATACAGAAATTTTATAATAGATTACCCCAAAAAGGGAATAGATAATCTCTTTACCACTTGTATCTATACTTTTCTATTTATTTGTATTTAATTTGAGGTATTGATTTTTTCCCTTTATTTATTATAATATTTTTTATTATTTGTCTTGAAAAAGTAGGATCTAACCCTCGCCACGATTTTCGCATCACTGGATACGTATTTAAGCGTTGTTTCGATGGGTTAGTGTGGATACATGATTGATGAGAATCGCCCGTGTTACCATGACTACTTTGTACATCATAAAAGCTGGTGCTCAGCTAGCATAAGCAATTAAGTCATATGAGAAGTAGTCAGTTTCAGTAATCAAGTTGGATCATGAGAGTATAGGAAGATCACCTCTTTTCATACTTCAAGATGTCAACATAAAAGTTTTGTAAGCATAAGTGTTTTAATAATAAACAAAGTAAGAACTAAGCTGTGAAAAGATGAATGGCTAAAAGGATAATTGAATCACTTATTAAAGTTCGAGTATTGAAACTTAAGAATGTAATTATTAAAGTGATTAATGAGTTAGAGCATAATCAAGTAAACTGTTTGTTATGTCAGTGAATATAATAAATGTATTATTTGTATTACGTGTCTATCTGTCTCTTTATTCTGAATATCTCTGTAAAAAAAAAGAATTAGACGGACTCGTTAGTAGCGGGTCACTAATCATAAATTATTTGTACAAAATCTAGTGGACAATACAGCCTTCCCCTCTCTCATATACAGGTCACGTCACACTTACTTACAAGAGGTAATTAAAATTATTATCAATCTTATTCTGTGTACAATTACAGCTGTTACCGACTGTAAGCACTAAATATATAACACAATTTTTTTTATATTTTAATCTTACTATATGGAGTTTCACCCACCACATTAGAACTTGAATTTAAACATATTCGTACCATTTCAACATCTCTGTGTATTTCATTAAATCTAAAACATTAGCTTCAACATTAACCCTTTTTATATCAGAAATATAAATTCAGTCACACAGTGTAAAATCAATAAAAGCATTGTTTCAACCAACAATACCTTCACTGAAAACAGTATTTATTCTTCCATTGCGAGTGAGATGTTTGAAGTTAAGCACAAAGCTACACAATTGGTTATCTCTGCTCTTCCCACCATGGGTATCGAAACCCGGTTTCTAGCGTTGTAAGTCCGCAGACACACCGCTGTGCCACTGGGGCGCGCGAGTGAGATGATATGGACTGATGGTTGAGGCGCTCGACTCGCAATTTACGAGACAAGGAATTGAATCCCGTTCTCGAACATGTTCGCCCTTTCAGCCGTGGGGGCATTATAATATGACAGTCAAACGCACTGTTCGTTGATAAAGGGTAGCCCAAGAGTTAGCGGTGGGTGGAGTTGACTAATTACTTTTCTTCTAGTCTATCACTTAGAAATTAGAGACGGGTAGCATAGATAACCTTCGAGTAGCTTTGCAAGAAATTCAAAATATAAACAAACAAACAATATTATAATGTTATAGTTAATCTTTTATTTAACGCAAACTGGAGTTTATTATCAAACATTTTTATTAGTGTATATAAGATAATAACCTGTATCTCCAGAATGTACTTTCATTAGCTCAATATCACCAGACATTTCTATTAATGTATATAAGATAATGACCTGTATCTCCAGAATATACTTTCATTAGTTCAATATTACCAGACATTTCTATTAATGTATATAAGATAATGACCTGTATCTCCAGAATATACTTTCATTAGCTCAATATTACCAGACATTTCTATTAATGTATATAAGATAATGACCTGTATCTCCAGAATGTACTTTCATTAGTTCAATATTTCGGTATTACAGCTTCATTAGGAGCTATTGGTAACCTACAACGTCGATTTATATTTGAGTTTTATCTAGATTAGAAAACTGTCGTTACTTTATTTACATTACCAGAAATGTCTAGTAAGATGTTAGGTTGAATTTCTGATAAGCATTATTACAAAACATTGCACAGATAATTATGCAAAGTGGGGAAAATGGTGCTCTAAAAGTGTTATCGTTTCTTTCCAAAAGGAGACAAATTCAGAACAATTGTACGTTTGTGATCTTTTACCTAAGCCTAATTTAAGCGTTTCCCACTTTACATTAGTATTTGGCAAATCATGATCTGTTGATCGGTGCATGGTCTAATATTATCTCGCAATAAGAGTGATGGTAAGATGTAATTAAAACTGTTTTCAGTACTTCTGTGATATAATATTTCACTAACCACCAATCAAAATATAAGCTAGTTTATAGTTTGCTGAATAAAGGCGCTGCATGCATGAAAAAAAGAATTGGTTTCTATTAATTTTATAAAAATCCAATTTTATTGTCATTGGATAATTTAACCAAAATATGTCTTCTAACCTTTTCTCGACCTTATCTTCACACTCCATTGGCCTTACGAGATCAATATTTTAGTTTTTACTTGAGTTTCTGTAGTTGTTATTGCTAAATGAAGGTATTTAACTTGAATTTGGAGACATATCTTACCTGAGTAAAAACAGGCTTGTACAACTTCTTAAAACTTATAATCACTATTGTTTCGTATTATAATATTCACTACGTCAGATGGCGGCTGAGTATAGACTATTGTGAAATTATGCACATTTTGATTGCTATTATCTGACGAGTTAGCGAATTATAAAAGATCAAAAGAGTTGGTCAAACGGTAAATTAGAAAATCGAAAACTATATAAAAAAAAAGGTTGGCTGAACATGTAAACATTAAGGGTAAGCAAAATATTAAGATGGGAGTAGGGCCTTTGAGGAAATATACAGAAATGCTTATATTTAATTATTATGAAATGGCTGAGTTATTCAACTTTTTCTTTAATTTTTACTAAGGAAATGTAAATCAATATTTTTCATCCTGAACAGCTGCTAAATAGAAAAAAAGACTGCAAAAAATGAGCTTGTTAAGAGGACATTGGGAAGTTTAGAAAATAACAAGACTCCTGGTCCAAATAATATTTCCCCAAAGATTTGAAGGATGATTGGATATATGAATTACATGCTAATGTTTTTTGTAAGTCTTTGGATAGTGTACAGGTACGAGAAGATTGGGACTTGACTAATGTTACTTGAGAGTTTCAAGGGAGGTAGTTATAGGTCTATTAGTCTTACATCAGTTGTGGGAAAAGTTTTTGGAAATCTGATAAAAGATGCTTTGAAAAGTTATTTCACAGAGTTTAAAATGTTGTTCGATAGTCAGCATGGTTTCTGTAGGGGAAAAATTTGCCTTACTAATCTTACTGCCCGGCATGACCAGGTGGTTAGGACGCTCGACTCGCAATCTGCGGGTCGCGGGTTCGAATCCCTCTCCCACCAAACATGCTCGCCCTTTCAGCCGTGGGGGCGTTATAAGGTGACGGTCAATCCCACTATTCGTTGGTAAAAGAGTAGCCCAAGAGTTGGCGGTGGGTGGTGCTGACTAGCTGCCTTCCCTCTAGTCTTACACTGCTAAATTAGGCGCGGCTAGCGCAGTTAGCTTTGCACGAAATTCAAAACAAAACCAACAAACTAATCTTACTAATGGGATATCATAATTTAAATCATGGGTATACTTTTGATTGTAATAACTTTAACAGTTTATGGAAGAAAAATTATCTTGGTGTTCTGTTTTATCAGTCTCTTAAGTCATCCAAACAATGTGCTGTTGTTTGTGGCAGGGCAAATAGGATTTTATGTTGTATCTATAGAAACATTGAATACAAGTCTAAACAGGTTGTAATTTCATTGTATAGGTCATTGGTTAAGTCACACTTGGAGTATTGTGTTCAGTCTTGGGCTCCTTACCTTGAGAAAGACATTGAACTGTTGGAAAGGTTACAGAGGAGGACTACTAAGACGATACCTGGGATGGAAAGGTTTTCATACGAGAGCAAGTTAAGTTCTCTGATTTTTTTCTTTTAAGAAGAGTTGTAAAGGATATGTTTGAAGTGGTTTAAGACTGTTAAGGGAATTGATATTGTTGGCATCTTCTTTTTTTCGCACTTTAATGGTAAAGCTAGAGGAAACAAATATAAATTTAGACAGGGTAGAAAAGAGGTCATCCTCAGCTAAGACAACGTTATTTTTCTATCATGGTAGTTGACCTTTAGAATGTGTTGCCTTTAGATGTGGCGGATGCAATTGATTTAAGGAAGGTTTGATCAATATTTGAATGATAAGAGCTGCCTTTGAGTGTTTTATTTTCATTTTAAAGTTTAGTTTAGTGGATGTGACGGCCTAGATGTAACAATAGGTCTCTTTTCTGTAAATAATGTGCGTGTATGTATGTATGTATACGCAGGAATGTCACATGGAATTGAAAGCAAAGAAAATGACAGTTTCGCAACTTCTACCAGTTTTGTATATTCCTAATTATGGAGCATTACGTACTTAAAATTAGTTTTCCAATGAAACAAAAACATATTCATATTTACAATTTATGGTAACAAATACCAACAAGTTACATATAATTCTTTGGTTTATCCATAGAGATTAGTTTTAAATAAAAGATGTGATCGATATAATATATTGTTTTTGTTTTACATTTGATCTTTTAGATATTTAATATTATCTGTTAAAGAGGAAGTAAATGTTTGGTAAGATACACTTCCAGCACTGCTACTTTCTAATATATACATAATCATATACATATTACAGTATTTGTTTGTTCGTTTGTTGCTAAACACAAAACTATATAATAGTCCATCGGTGCCCACCATGTGTATCGAAACCCAGTTTTTAGCGATGTGAGCTCTGCAGACTTACCGCTGTGCGAATATAACTATTTGGTTATAGAAAAGAACCAAACTAAAAATTACTGATCTAATATCGTTTGTTTGACGTTTTCAACAGTAGATGAAGACAGATTTTCTGTGGGAGACGTTGCAAGTAGTAACAACGTACAAACAAAAATATAATTAATACGGTTTGTTTGTTTGTTTTGAATTTCGCGCAAAGCTACACGAGGGCTATTTGCGCTAGCCGTCCCTAATTTAGCAGTGTAAGACTAGAAGGAAGGCAGCTAGTCATCACCACCCACCGCCAACTCTTGGGCTACTCTTTTACCAACGAATAGCGGGATTGACCGTCACATTATAACGCCCCCACGGCTGAAAGGGCGAGCATATTTGGTGGGACGGGGATTCGAACCCGCGACCCTCAGATTGCGAGTCGAGCGTCCTCACCACCTGGCCATGTTGGGCCACAATTAATACGGCTACAGGCAACAGTCAATTTAAATACTTTGTACATCTATCAGAGACTATTTAAAATACAGGCATATGATAGCAAAGGTTTTACTACTGTCATAGATAGACTGTATCCAAAGGATTATTATCAAGCTATGTGAGGCTACAGAAAATAATGTTAAAGTGATCACAATGTTGATAAAAGATAAATAATTAATTCGGCCGAAACTAACGATAATGCTACCTATCATTAAAAGGTTTACAAATTTAAGTGTCATCCAATTTTTCCATCACATAGTTCTTTGGTTGAGGGAAGTATCACATACGAGTAAGTAAAGTGAAGAAAAATGCCTCATATTTGTGTTTTATTTTAATTTTCAGAGCATATTTTATTACCTGTTAATTTTTGTCAATTACGCTGATTCAAATTTGCACAACTTTAGCACATCAGCAGAGCTATATCAGTTTTAAAAGGATTTATCAATGGTAGTAAATAAATCGTCTCTACTATTATGATTATTTGTTTTGAATTTCGCACAAAACTACACGAGGGTTATCTTGGTCTACTATTTTACCAACGTCCCCACGACTAAAATGGTGAGCATGTCTAGTGGGATGGGGATTCGGATTACGAGTCGAGCGTCCTAACCACCTGGCCATGCCGGGCCGTACCATTGTGAATATGAACCATTTAATTATCAGCATTATAGATGAAAAATGTAGTGTCCTAACTCAAGGTCCCTCGGTGGGTCGGCGGTAAGTTTACGATCATCCTAAAATCCGGGGCTCGCTTCCTTGCGGTGGATAGAGTTTAGATAGTCCATTGTACGGGTTTAAGCCGAAACAAAACAAACTTGATCATAACTCAGATAACGTGTTTTTTCTTCTTGAAAAATGAAACAAGATATAGAGTTTTACTTCAAGATATATAGCGGCCACCACCTGTACTGAATTCTAAGTTAGAGTCCAAAACTGTAATAATATTAAAGGTAAGAACAGCATCACATTGTATCAGTTGGAGTAACTTTACCTATACTCTTTAAACATAATATCAACATGAATTACAAACTAACAGTAGTAAGTGTAGGTAGTTTAAAACTCAGTTAACATGAGAACGAGTGTTGATACCAGAAATGCTTCTCCGTTCGTTGTATAATTTTCAATATATTTGGTATTTTCAACCTGAAAAGTACATTGTATAACACATGAGCTAAGTGGCCAGATCAGAGACTCGAAAGTTCAGACACCGACGTTCCTAATTTAGGTCTATATTGACCAGAGAGAGTTTTGTCATCATCAGGTACTTTGTCGAAACGTTGTACATTTGCTGTTATGTTAAACTTATATTAAAGATTTTATTCATTACCCATTCAAGCCGTCTCCAGCCATTATTAGTCTCAAAGTGGGTTCCCCGTCATCGAATTTGAATCCTGTTAATCCGCTGCCGTCTTCAAGGAAGTCCTGGAAAGAACTGTGGCTTTGGTAGTCGGGATTCGATCCTGGGTAATCTTAATAGAAAAGCTATTGTGCTATCGTTTCGACTTGAACTTGAAGGCACTAACTTATGTGAACGGTTTCAGGAGAAATGTTCTAGCCTTTGTTGGTCTTTTTCTTGTCTATTGGACTCCATATTCTAAAAGGTGGCTTTGTCCTCCATTGGAGTGGTTTGGCTTATACTGACTGCGATCGTATTGTGTTGTAAATTTTAAGTACTGTTTGAACTTTATGCAGTTTACATATCCTCTTTGTATTTTCATGGAGATCTTTGACTTTATATCTTAATTAAAGTATTCTCCTGCTTATGCTTGATTGTTTTTTTTTCTTTATTTTGTTTATTATGAAAACTAATAAGTCTATGAAGATGCCAGTCTTTACATTGTCGGGGCGGCTTGATTTATAGTCCAAGTAATTTACCTGTACCTGTTGGTTTTTATGTAAGATCCTGTGGTATAAGAATCATGTCTTGATAACCACAGCGCCTGAAAATGAGAGTTTGACATATTCTTCTATTCTCATTTTTAATTTGTATTGCTAGATGTTCAGGTGGTTATGAATTTTGGAAGTTTGCCTGATGTGTGGTGCAATATTACGAATGTATCGTCAACATTTATAGGGCAAATCCTGGTTATTTTTGAAGACGTTATCTTCGAAATGTTCCATGTAGAGGTTTTCTAATACTTGTGACAGGGTTAGACCTTGTTGTTGTTGGTAGTATATATCTAAGTTGGGTTCGTTCCTTTAGAGATATATGATCTTTAAGTATCTGTAATGTTTCAAATGAATAACTTGGATACATCGAAGGTGATTTGTGTCTTGTGAGGTCATCGTGGTTGTTTCTATAGTTTCTACAAAGTTGACCGACTTCTTAAAATATAAGGATAATATGCCTGTCCAGGTTACTAATAATGACAACAACTAATGTCCAATGGCCACGATCTTCCCAAAATTACATAATGCCGCCAGTTTCATCGCGTGATTGTTGAATTATTTTGTTTCCAATCTTTTATTGTTGTGGTTTTTAGTGTTTGTACTCGTGGATTCATATATCTATTTGTTTTCAAATAATATTTTAGATTAAGTATTACTATTGTTGATGGATGACATAAAGTAATGGACTAAGAAAGACCTCAGCTGTAGAAAGTGTGAGAATGGAGGAGAATCTGGAAAGTTATAACGGTTGAATCAAGTGTGCCCCAATCATCGGAATGGTCATGAATCTGACCCGACTGCTGATGGCATTTTATCTTAATTAACAAACCTCAATGAAGGATTCATAATGAACTTTTTTGTTGTTGTTGATTTTGTTAACTAAGTTAATTTACTTATTCTATACAAGTAGACATTAAACTATCAACTGTAATGTTATTTATTACTTCTAATTAAATTACACATTGGATTGATTGCGATATTTTATTACGCCGTATATCATACTCAACAATTTTCCATATTTCAAATACATATTTATAAAAATAATATTCTAGCTTTCACTGTAAAATCTAGAAAGAAGAATTTGAAAACGACACTTTCTGTACAGTCAAGACTTTTCACATGAACAACATTAATAGTGATTACAGAGTAACAAAGTACCGAACCCAGGGCCGGATTAAGGTTTAGTGTGGCCCTAGGTCCAGATAATATTTGGAAATAATAATAATGATAACAATTCATTCTTGCCTCTATTTTTCTAGTTTTACGAACCATAGTTTTTTGTTTTTTTACTTGGGTAATCGGAAGGGGCCCTTGTACGGCCTGGTGGCCTATACGTTAATCCGGTACTATTCAAACCTTTTAGACTTCCTCACATATGAATACAACTAGCTTCAGGAAATAGGAAACGTGTGATGGTCAAATTTGTTATCGTCAGATTGCTTTTCAGAAAATGATTTTTCTGTTAGAATCTGAATTTCATGAATACAATTTGGAATACAACTGTGAAAAAGAATAAAATTCGTAGCCAAATCAATTGTGACTGTTTAATATTCATAAAGGTTAATAAGAGTACCTCACACGCACAATGACATTTATTGGCTGGCATATCAATCCATATGAAGTTTTATGCCATATGGTATGTGATCTCCATAAGGGAAAATATTAGATTCATACATATGGTAAATATACATATACATGTATACTCTGTGTGTAATAATTCAGCATCAATGTATTAAAGACAGTACAGATTTTGGGGAACTTTATAATTACATGATCGAGTACGAAAAATTTCAATATTACATGTTAAACATATGTATATCAAGTGTTTTTATTGACCAAACTCGAAAGTATTTCAAGAATCGTTACCACGGTGAATCAGCGGTAAGTTCAGGAATTTACAATGACATAATACGGGGTTGTATTTCCCACGGTGTACAGAGTTCAGACAGCTCAGTGTGTAACTTTCTACTGTTACGTCGGTGTTCGTTTGTTAATTTTTCGTAGAAATTCTTTCCGAGAAGCTTCAGCGATACAAGTCTT